TATCACACCAAGGTAAGAGAAATGGAGCAGGCAGCATGCTTTCACAAAGCATTATCATAATACAGTTTTGCAGGCTCCATGTAATTTTCTCTATCAGCCATTTCAAGCCTATGCTAATGGACCTGTATAGGTTGCATTTTTATGGCACCCACCTGTTGTTTGACAAAAGCCATCAACTTATTAAAAAGAAAAGGGCCTAATGAGAGTAAAAAATCAACAGTCCAAGCAATGGTCCAACTAATTATAGAACTGCAGTTAGTGAGGGTGACAAACCCAACATCAATGTCAGAGGTATCGTTATGAGAACTTCCCTGGAGGTAGGGGGAATCTCTGAAACCTATTGGCTGCACTCTAAGGGGGAGGCTGGCACTACACTTTAAGTCAGGACTTGGGTCTAATTGATCCTTATTTTGGGGGCTTGGGGAGACATACCCATTTTTGTGCATTGCCTCCTCCCACTTGGGAGCTATATTGAAGGTATGCCATCTTATCATTGTAATCTGTCATTCTAGTGTAAGAGGTGGGCTTAGTTTTAACTATACCTCCCTTTCAATCACATAGGGAACCGAATAGAGTGGCACTCAGAGCCCTTGCACTGTGAGGGGGGTCCAAAGCCTCCCTTTTCTGGCAGCAGGAGAATCATCATAATCCCAACGGACAGGATCCAGGCTGTCAGTTCCATCATCTGAAAAACAAGCGCTGGGAAAAGTCTCTCAGGGGTCATTTTTGTTCCTGGAGTCATCTGTAACATTACTCTTTTTGTTGCATTTGATCTATTTGTTTAACCAATGGTTCTGGTAGCCATCTTGCAGATTTCATCTCTTTAGAGTAAATGCATACTGATCCTCATCCCCAGATAAGGACTGGGTCTGGACCATGCCATGAGTTAGTCAGGGGGTATCTCCATAGTACAGAGGCAAATTGTTTTTGTGTTTCGGCTGCTGATTTCCGGTGGCATCCAAATTTTAAAAATTAAGGATGAATAAGGCATGAGATAGAATATTTTTAGGTGACCCCCTTGTGGGGTACCATTCCCCTTTTTTATTTTATAAACAGTGAGTTTTAGGGAAAGATATGCCCTTTCAACTATGCGTTGGCCTTGAGGGTTATAAAGTATGCCTTTTATATGATTAATATTAAGATGTTCTATCTTTGGAGTCCTTTTTGAAGTCCTTTTCAAAATGACCAGTTTCTCCACAAGTAAAACATTTTTGTTTATGCTTTTGAGATAAGAACTGTTTAACTGTAAGCCTTTGCAAAGCGGCAGCCACAGCAAGGCCTTGCTGGTAAGCAGCTCCAATGTCAAAGCAAAGGCATATATATCCTGTCAGGTCAGTTTTGTTTTTATGAAGTCTGATAGCGGCCTGACAGGCAGCATTAGCATTCTCAAAAGCTAACTGCTTAACAAAATCTGTACCTGCATCAGTGTGACCAAAAATTCTGCCAGCGGCGGTAATCAAATGATAGACAAATTCTGAGAAAGATTCATCAGGCCCTTGCTTAATGCTCATCAGAGAGGAACTCATATCACCCTTTGTAGGCAGTTTTATCCATGCTTGAGTAGCTGCTGTTTGAATTTGAGTGAAAAGCGTTGGGTTAAATTGCTTTTGGGCCTCTCTGTCTGCATAGGCACCCTCCCCTATTAACATATCAAGGTCCCACCCATTGCCAGCTTGTGTATTGTGCCTGGTGGTCTCTTTGCAATTTTCTATATATTCTTATTTCCATAAAAGATAGTCCCCACTCAATAAGGTTGCTTGGACCAATCCTTGCCAATCTGTAGGTGTGAGCCAGCCATCAGCCAAAGAATCCAAGACAACAGCCTTAGCGCTGTATTGTGCCACTGCCATTTTTTAATTCTCTTAACTGTCTGAAATTAAAAGCAGTGTGGTGGCAAATAACCTGGTCTTCTCCGCCTGTTGTCTCGGTCACAGGGAAAGCATTTAACTCCAATATGGGATCAAGGCCAAGAGGTAAATTTTGAAATGTCCCTCAGGGGGGTCACTGAATGGGAGAGGTTCTGGAGGAAGTTTTGGGGTTAGTTACACTTTTCATTTTAAATTTTGCCATTTTTAGCCTTTCTAATTGGACTATTAAATTCTGATGTTCTTTTTCCAGTTCAATCTGTTCTTTTAAAAGTTCAAATTTTTCTCTTAATTCCTTCCTAGCATCAAAAGTTAAACACGCTGAAGCGGGAACAGTGGGGCCATTACAGGATGAGGGCTTTGTCTACGCTGGCCGCCTGGTGTGGGGTGGGGCTGCAGCGTGCTAAGCCTGGAGCGGGTTGGGCCTTAGCAATTACCGGATCCCTTTGTTCCCGAGATAAAATTTCATCTATTAAATCACAGTAACTAAAGGCCATTACCGGGAACTTTTCAGGTCCAAAGAGGTCACAATAATCTTTAAGCGCTATGCCAACCTGTTTCCACTGTTTGAGACTGATAGAGCCTTGAGTAGGAAATCAAAGGCAAACCTCTTTTATAAAATCGAAGTATTGGCATAATTGCTAATATTCACCTTTACTTCTCATGCCTTTAAATCTTTTACTAAATTTTCAACAAAAATCTCATATTGGCTAATTCTTGTCCCATATCGCTATTTACTTACTGAGGTTCAATGTGGCGTGGCAGGTTCCCACATCATCAGGTTCTCTATTTCCTTTTCTTTTTCTACTTTGAGCCCACAAATAACGTCGCTCATGGAATCCCCTGTTCTCTTGTCCGACATTGGGTGCCACTTGTCCCAGCCTGTGGATGAGTCAATGTAGACGCTAGAGGGAAGTGGGGATGAGAAGAGACAAGAGACACAAAGAATGGAGACAAGACAGTGCTCTGATTAAGTCTCATTTATTCAAAGAAAGAGTAATGAATATATAGCATATTGGGGGAGGAGGGAGTTGGGTTCTGAGATGTCAGCAGGCAACTTAGCAACAGTGGCAAGACCGGGGGTTATAGGGTAATTTAAATTTCCTGCACGTGGGGGGGGGGGGTAATGTGGGCTGGTTTAGTGTAGTCCCTAAATGGGCCAAACCACAGAGACCTGTGACCTAAGGAGAAACAGGCTGGACAAGGAGAGAAGCTTAACTACCAAATGGAAACTTAACTCCTAGAGGAGGTTAAGATGGCTGCTGCCTGCAGATATAAGGTGGCAGCCAATTACAGGGCTTCCCACAGAGTGAAGTATTTCAGATCCTAAAGGAAAACGATTTTAAACCTAGACTGATGTACCCTGTAAAACTGTCCTTCAAAATGGATGGAGAAATAAGGTACTTCCATGACAAAGAACAGCTGAAGAATTTCATGAACACCAAGCCAACCTTGCAAAGAATACTGAAAGACAGTCTAGATACATATAAGAAAAAACCACTAAGCAAGGTAGAGAACTAAACAGAATGAAAAGATAAACATGCAACAGCAGAAAGATAATATGTCAACAATAAGCCAATACATAACAGTTATAACCATCAATGTAAATGGTCTCAATTCACCAATTAAAAGTAACAGACTGGCAGAATGGATCAAGGAACAACATCCAACCATATTACTGTCTGCAAGAAACCCATCTAACCCAAAAGGAAACTCACAGACTGAAAGTCAAAGAATGGAAAACAAGACTTCATGCAACAGGAACTGAAAAAAAAAAAAAAAAAAAAACGGGGGTAGCTATTTTGTTTGCAGATAATGTGAACTTCAAACCAAGAATTATCCTAAGAGATAAAAAGGTCACTAAATACTGGTTAGGGGAAAACTTAAAGAGGAAGAGATAACTATCTTAAATATATATGCACCAAATTCCAGAGCACCCAGCTATACAAAGCAAGTATTAGTAGAAATGAAAAATCAAATTAGCAATAACACAATTATAACAGGAGACCTTAACAGACCATTGATACCAAGGGACAGATCAACCAGACAGAAAATCAGCAAAGAAATAACAGAAATGAATCACACCTGTGAACAACTGCATTTGGTAGACATATACAGAGTGTTCCATCCAACAACATCAGAATAGACATTCTTCTCAGCAGCACATGGAACATTCTCTAAAATAGACAATATACTAGCTCACAGAACATATTTAAATCAATGCAAAAGAATTGAAATTATCCCATGCATGTTATCAGATCATAGTGCCATGAAACTAGAAATTAATGATAAAAGAAATTGCAAAACCCCACAAACACATGGAAATTGAATAACACATTCTTGAGCAATCAGTGGGTCACAGAGGAAATTAAAGAAGAAATTAAACAATACCCACAAGTAGATGAAAATACAAATACAACTTACTGGAATCTGTGGGATGCAATAAAAGCAGTCCTCAGAGGAAAGTTTATTGCACTGAGTTCCCACATCAGGAAAACAGAACAAACACAAATAAACAACCTGTTGCTATACCTCAAACATCTAGAAAAAGAAGAGCAAGGCAAGCCCAAAGACAAAAGAAGGAAATTACAAAAATCAGAGCACAAATTAATGCAATAAAGAGTAAGAAAACAATATAAAGAATTACCAAATCAAAGAGTTGGTACTTTGAAAGAATAAATAAAATTGATAAGCCCCTAGCCAATCTTATTTTAAAAAGGAAACAAAAAACTCAAATTCATGCAATAAGGAATGAAAAGGGTGGAATCACCACAGACTCTGTGGAAATACAGAAGATCATCAATACTTATTTTGAAAATCTTCACTCTCGGAGAGTTTGAAAATGGCAGCCTGCTAGGGGGCTGGGTGCAGAGTCTCTGCAGACAAATTAGATCAGATGCTAGAATATGACAACATAGAGAGGGCCAGACAAATGGATAATGATTCTTATTAACCAAGGCGATAACCAAAGGAAAAACTAAAACTAGGAAGAGGAAACTAGGAAGCGTGGGTGGAAATCATGATGCACTTCTGAGCCCTTTTCCATGCTGTACTAGGTGCGCCCGGAGGATCTAAGGTCATGCCGAGACCATGGCTGCCGATAACGGGGGTCCACAAATCTCGGACCCTTAACAGGAGGACGTGGCACAGTGAGAAGTGGATCCAAGGGGAAAAGTTGTATTGGCTCTTGGCAACTGCTGGAATTGAGACCTGGGACCCCACGAAGCAGCCAAAGCCACCTGGCCATGCAGGAGGAGATGGCAAGAAGCTCCAGAGCTCTGAAGCCAGACACTGCACAGTTTTCTGACTGATCCATGTTATACTGGGAATGCAGTGAGGACAGGCTGCACGGTGTGCAGTGGACCCAAGAGAAAGATCTGCATTGAGTCCTAGTGAGTACTAGGTACTGAGTCCCACAGCTGCTGTCGATGGCTGTAGGACATCTTGGAATTGGGCAGAGCCTGGCACTGCAGTGCAGGTGTGTCCTGGGGGAACACTCTCTATAGTCACCCCTAGCACAGAGAGTTCTGGCAGAGGACAGCTTGGATTTCGGCAGAGCACTGCACCACGATGACAACAGTCAGACGCTTCTGGTGCAAAGAGAACTGGCAGGGTCTGCTGGGGCTGAACCACGCCTCTGGTTGGGACCCAATAAGAAGATACAAAATAGTCGCGACACTATGACATCCACAAGGTACAGCCTAACTTGCAGATTGACTGGCACAGAGGCTGGAGGCTAGCCTGCACCAACCATGCATCCCTGCCTACCTCAGGTAACAGTAAATTGGGGAAGGCAGCAAAAAATCCAGTCAGCATGCTTCAAAAAGACCCTAAGCAATATGGAGAGGGACAGAGACCCCCAGGACACACCAGTCTGAAAGAAATCAGAAACATGACAAGAGATAGAAATTTTTAAAAATCTCCAATTGTCGAACCTGGGAAAATAAGCCCAGGAGAAGTAAATATAGAAGAGAACCAGCACAGTAACCATCCAATACTAGACACAGCATCAGCCAATATAAAGAAATGCCTTCATGACCTCATAGACAAATTTAAAACTCTGCTTCTGATCCAAGTGAGATCACAGATCCCCAAGAGATCACAGATTCCCAAGAGAACACAGATGAAAGAAAGGAGGAAATCAGAAAAGAAAGAGAAATCTCTGATGAAGAATTTAAATATAACCTAGAATACCTGAAACAGATCCAAAGAGATTCCCAGGAAACTAAAAACTCCGTTGAAAACTGGCAAAATGCCTTGACAGAAACTAAAGTTAGCCTTTTGAAACTTGAAGAGAGATTTATGATATATGACTGTGAAAGAAAAGACCTCTTAAAAATAGGGAACCAGAAAGAAACAATTCAATGGCTAGAAGACAACAAAAGGATACATAACTTAAGAATAAAGCACGTGAGCAAGGAAGCCAGAGTAACCAAAAATAAACTACAAAGAATATTCACAGATATATTAAAGGAAAACTTCCCAAGCATAGGAAAAAGAAATAATATCCAGATAAATGAGGCATACAAAACTCCAGCAACCTACAACCAAAACAGATCTATACTCAGACATATAATAATCAAGATTCCATAAATCCACCAAAAGAACAGAATACTAAAAGCAGCCAGGAAAAGAGAAGCAGATTACCTACAATGGGAAAATTATCAAAATAACAACAGATTTATTAACATAAACTCTCAAATTGAGAAGGACCTGGGGGGAAATAGTCCAAACCCTGAAAGAAAATAATTTGCAACCAAGACTGATATACCCAGAAAACTCTCTCTCAAAATTAATGGAGAAATAAGATGTTTCCAAGACAAGGAGGAACTGTGGGAGTTCATGGCCACCAACCCAACCCTACAGAGAGTGCTAAAGGACATTCCAGAGAGAAAGAGGAAGCGATACCAGGATTCCAGCAACAGTGGCAGAGAGGCCTCAATGAATGGGGCAGACAGTGGAATGAGGGAGTAAGGTGGACAAATTATAGCAATAAAGTGAAGTAGCAGACATGAGGCAGAGATGGTAAGCTATAATCTTTAATATAGATAGCTTTGATACACTATAATAAAAAAAGGCAGAGGTCATTGTTAATAGTGTATCAGGATTTAAAAGTCACAGTAGTCTTATCGCTCGGTTTAGTTTGAATTTATTTAGTTCCAGTCTGTCCACTCATATCAGATTTGAAGGCACAGATGTCTAACCCAAAAATAGCAGGTTATATCATGGTAACTATCCTTAATTTCCTATTAACTTAAACTGAAACCCTATATTGCTTATATTGTCTTACTATGACTGATCTTATTTGAATCTGATTTGTTAGACTGCAGTCTTGCCTTGGCTGATTTTATTCGAATTTGGTATGCTTGACAGTATCAAGTCTAAAAGTAGAGGCAATTACTCTGAAGATGACAAGATGTAAAAGATACCCATACTGGTTTTGATTATTAACAGCTCTCAAATCCTACAATGTTTTCAAAGTTGTGTTTTTATAAAAATAGCTATATAATGCTATGCCTTACTATATTAAGCCTGATGATGTGCACAAGTCTATTGAAAACAACAAGAGAAAGCATAGTAACTATGGTAGATCACCTAATATTGTGGTCTTATGTGTCTTTTTCATTGCATGTTTTTCTAGGAATTTGTTTTGCTGTCCTGTTATGATTTGTTTTTCCCTATAATACAGAGAGGATAGATATACATGTAGAAATTCACACATGGGAAGAATTTTTTAAACTATTTATAGGAACAGATTATATAATGCAAGATGTAATGAACAGATAATATAAAGAAGAAGAGACACTAAGAAACTCAATACTAATTCTATAGCATTATGACATAAAATCTATCAATACTATTTTTCACTGTTCAGAGTGATATTAGTCTAGTCTCAAGTTCAATTTTAGCATACGTAAAGATAAGGACAGCTACTCTGAAGAGAATGAGAGACATTATGGAGGTCATTATTGTCCTCCCCAATGTCAGATCTTGAAGACGTAAAAAGCCTTTATCATCCTGTAATGATTTGATTAGTTCTATAATATGCAGTATGTATTTAATGTGTGTGAAGATGCGGACAACTATTTTGAAAAAAACTAGAGACAATAAGATAGACAGTGAAGATCTCCAGTGGACTTGCTTTGAAATCTGTATTTTTTTAAATTGTTTCTTTTTGAACTGTTTTGTTCTGTTTTGATATATTTAATCTTACCATCTTTAAGATAAAAAGCAAGTATGTAGGATTGATAACCATATTAGTAAGTTTTTGTTGGATCATTGAGCAGAACTGTTGACAGTGTCACTATTTGAATGTCACTTTACATACTTTAATTTTGTAACCTGAACAACCATTTCTAAGATGACAACATGAAACTTACCAACTGGTGATTTCTTACTGTTTATTTTTCTGTAATTCTGTATTATTTCTACCATTTTTCCATTTTTTGTTTCTTTCTCTTTAAATAAATAAAAAAAAGAAAATCTTTACTCTCAAAGGTTTGATAACCCTAAATGGACAGATTGCTAGAAACATATGAATTACCAAAGCTGGATCAAGAAGTTGTAAAACTGCTGAATAACTCAATTTCAGTTAATGAAATTGAAAATGTAATTAGAACCTTACCAACAAGAAAAGCCCAGGTCCTGATGGATTCATAGCTGAATTCTACAAGAAATTCAAGGAAGACAATGCCAACACTCATCAAACTCTTCAATGACATTGAAAGGGAAGCAATTCTCCCTAACTCATTCCTGGAAGAAAGTACTACCCTAATACCAAAACCAGAGAAAGACTCAACCAAAAAAGAGAACCACAGGCAAATCTCCCTAATGAATATAGATGCAAAAATTCTCAATAAAATACTGGCAAACAGAATGCAACCAGTCATCAAGAAGATTATATGCCTTGACAAGTGGGATTAATCCCAGGAATGCAGGGATGGTTCAACATATGCAAATCAATAAACATAATACACTACATAAATAGAACCAAAGACAATAATCACATGATCATCTATAAGTGCAGAAAAGCTTTTGATAAGGTCCAACATTCATTCATGATAAGAACCTTACAGAAAATTGGAATAGATGGTCTTTACCTCAATATGATAAAGGCCATCTATGACAAACCTACAGCTAGCATCATATTAAATGGCCAAAAACTGAAGGCTTCACCTTAAAATCAGGCATAAGAAAAGGATGTCCCTTATCACTGCTCCTATTTAACATAGTACTGGAAATACTAGCCAGAGCAATAAGACAAGAGAGAGAAATAAAAGGGGTAAAGATAGAAAAAGAGGAAGTTAAATTATCATTATTTGCAGATGACATAATACTCTACATGAAAGACCCTCAAAACGCCATTGAAAGACTCTTAGATATAATAAATTCAGCAATGTAACTGGATACAAAGTCAATACTCAAAAATCAATAGCATTTCTATATACTAACAACAAAATCACTGAGAAAGAATCAAAAGAAGCCACACCCTTCACACTAACATCCAAAAAAATGAAATACTTAGGAATTAATCTCACAAAAGTAGTAAAAGATCTATGCAGGGAAAATTATAATATCTTGAAAAAAGAAATTGAAGAGGATCTCAGAAAATGGAAAGACACCCCTTGCTCATGGATAGGAAGAATAAATATCATTAAAATGGCCATTCTCCCAAAACTGTTATACAGATTCAAAGCAATCCCAATGAAAATACCATCAACATACCTCATAGATCTAGAGAAATCAACCCTAGAATTCATCTGGAACCAGAAGAGACCTAGAATAAAAAAAGCAATTCTAAGCAGCAAAGGCAAGACAGGAGGCATCACAATCCCTGACTTGAAGTTATATTACAAAGCATGTGTAAAAAATCAACATGGTACTGGAATAAAAACAGAGCCGAAGATCAATGGAATAGATTAGAAGATACAGCCACAACTACCAACACACTCGACCATCTTATCTTTGATAAAGGGGCCAAACATGTTCATTGGAAAAAAGACAGTCTCTTTAATAAATGGTGCTGGGAAAACTGGCTCTCCACATGCCAAAATCTAAAGCTAGTCCCATGCCTATCACCATATACTAAACTAAAATCTAAATGAATCAAAGATCTGAATATTTAAACAGAAACACTAAATCTGTTGGAAGATAAATTAGGTAAAAATCTTGAAAACATATGGGTAGGTAAGTAGTTCATGAACAGGAATCAAACCACACGGAAAATACTTCCCAGAACCAATAGCTGGGATCATGTCTTTATAAAAAGTTTCTGCATGTCGAAAGAAATCTCCAGCATAGTTAAAA